ACATATGGAGTACTCTTGAGAAGAGATACTCTCAGGTTGATCCTCACAAAATTGCAGAGTTGCAGAATGAAATCTTCAGAAACACACAAGGCACCATGACAGTTAGTGAGTATTTCACTAGAAGCAATGCCTTATGGGAGCAATTGAAGATCATGAGGCCCATTCCAAGGTGTGAATGTGTTCCTAGGTGCTCTTGCAGCCTTCTCAGTAAGATCCAGAAGGAGAGGGAAGCTGATCAGATAATCCGTTTCTTAGAAGGCTTAAACGAAGAATTTGAGACAGTTAAATCTGGAATCCTTGTCATGGATCCTCTTCCTACTATGGAGAAAACTCTCAATATGACTTTAAAACTAGAGAGAAAGATCAGGAGTGTAAGCAACCAGAGGAACAGTGAGATAGCTCATTCCAATGCTATTCAGACCAATACTCAGCTTGCAGATGATCAAGGCCTTGTAGCAGCTTCCACTTCCTACAATAACAAAAAGAAGTTTAATAACAAGGGGAAGAATGTATTGAAGATGAAAGATGAGAAGAACTGTTGTGTTTGTTACAAAAGAAGAAAGGACACACGCAGCATAGGCTATATACACATGAGGCAGTTATAACTGCTAGGGAAGGGAGGAAAAGACCATAAAGCCCTTCCTTATTAACTAACTCCAACTACCATCCTGTTGACAAAAAGTGGACTGATCCTGCTTCATCAACTGCTGCTTCTTGATTCATTCATCATATCATTCCAGGCAGGCATCCTCTACGTTAACAAGGCAATTTATATCGTGGACCAGGATCCACATAGCATTGTGGATCCTGAATCAAAACGACGTCGTTTGATGTGTCAGTTTTAACAGATTTCGTAACTTCTCGTATTTCATGTTTCAACACAAAATTTTAATTTATTCTATGTACTGAATCATTACGCTTAGTGTACAGAAATGCATAACATGATATACAAAAACGCATAATACCGTATACATACAAATATTTTCTATTTTACTTAATCTCAGATCTGATTTATGTAAATAGTTTATGTCATATAGATACATAATTGCATAATAGAAGACATAAAATCTTAAAATAAGGAACACAAAATGTTTTGTGTTTTACAACTACTAATTAATTTCATGTACAGAATCCTTACGCTTAATGTATAGAATTGCATAACATGATGTACAGAAACTAACGCAAAACACGACACACATACACATGCATTCTATTTTACTACGAGATACATACACATGTGTTCGATTTTACTTATTCTCATATCTGATTTTCCTGTATAAATAAGACATAAATTCGTAAAATAAGACACAATATATTTTGTGTTATACAATTACTAATCAATTTCATGTACGAAATCCTTACGCTTAATGTACAGAATTGCATAACATGATGTACAAAAACGCATAACGCGATATACATAGTACATACACATGTTTTCTATTTTACTACGAGATACATACACATGTTTTCTATTTTATTTATTCTCATATCTGATTTATTTGTAAATAATTTATGTCCTATAGGAACATAATATCATAATACAAGACATAAATTCGTAAAATAAAACACACAATATATTTTGTGTTAAACACTACTAATCAATTTCAGATACAGAATCTATACGCTTAAAGTACAGAATTTCGTAACATAATGTACAGAAACACATAACGCGATGTACAGAAACATACTTTACATTAAAAAAAAAAAAAAAAAAAAAAAAAAAAAAAAAAAAAAAAAAAAACTCTGTAACGCAAAATGAAAAACAAACGGTCTCCGTTAAAATTAAATTTAAATTGTGAACATTCAGTAAATAAATTGTGTATTTTGACCTAAGTCCACCTTACAAGATGGACCCGGGTCCATGGCATAAGTGTCGCAAATGAGATCAATCGCTACATTCCAGCCTGTCTATGACTATTGCGAAGCAGAGCCTTTAATTATCATTGTTTAATTTTCAGGAATGACTTATACCATCTTGTCAGAGATCAAGGACAAAAACCATAATATTTTTAGCTCCAACGGCTATACAGTACAAGTGCATTTAATGCTCAATGCCCACTGAGTAATACACACTGGTTATTAGGTTTTAAATTTTCATCTCCCTCCAACGGATAAATTTTTCCAACTATAAATACCTATCTTCTCCGTTGAAGAAGGTGCTGGTTAACTCATTTTCTCAATCTAAAGACAAGCTCTTCAAAGCAGTTCCATCTTCTTAGCTTTTCATAACCAGTGTTTGTTGTGAAGTTTTTCAAAGGCATATTTATCCTCATACTTCACAACCTGAAGCTGTCTTGCTCTTTTCTCAAGTGAAGATCTACCCAGACATCAAGACAAGCTTCAATCTATTGGAGAAACATCAGATCTCTTTTCCAACATCTCAGCTCAGGAAGTAGTTGATAGAGGCGGAGTAAACTCTAGGAGTTGAAAAACCTTTCAAGTGGCTGTCCGGCTTAGTGATCAAGGAAGCCAGCTTGAAGTAGTTTGTACTAGGAGTGATAGTGCAAACCCTTTCACGGGTTGTGAAAGAAGAGTGGAGTAGGCACAGTTGGCCGAACCACTATAAAAATATCTCTGTCTCCCTCTCTTTACTTATCGCTTTTACTTTCGTGCTGCATATCATATCACATCGACCAAACGATATATCTTTATCAACACGAAAGAGTGCAAAGAAAATATAACGTAAGACAATATTTTCACAGCATATATCTCCGAAAGGAGAATAATCGAAAAATAATCGATTAGAGTCTATTCACCCCCCCCCGCCCCCCCCCCCCCCCCCCCTCTAGACTCTCTCTGATCCTACCAGGACCAACATGTTGATTTCTTTTTGTTGTTTTTAACATGTAATTGTAGTTTCAAGTTTTCATATTGTGACAATGGTTTCAGTATTGGAAAGATAGATTGAGAGCAAAGATATTATAATTGAAGACAATCCAAATTTATGTTGCATGAAATTTGAAATAAAAGTTGTTATATTCTAAATAAAACAATAAAAATATTTTTTATTATATAATAATTAAAATGTTGAAGTATATAATTATGTTCATTTTTCTTTCTCATTTTCTGAAAAATGAACCAAACACACAAAGACAATTTTCTGTTGTGCAGCCAAACACCGGAAAGAAAAATGTTTTCTGGAAGATGATTCATTTTTCAGAAATCATTTTACGGGTTTCCAAACGGACCCTTAATTTAGTTGGGGAATAGCCACAACATCCTTAATCAGTTAAAATTATATAGGTTAGACAAGAAATTGATAATTGTCTAGTGATCTGATCTTATAATTTTAATTTGGTTGGGGAGTAGTCACAACATCCTTAATCTGTTAAAATTATATATTAAGTAGTTTATCTTGATCAGATACAGTTTTGGACATATCATTTGTGATTAATTGTATGTAATATGATGAAATTTAACCCACAGTCAATTTTGTTATATTTGTATGTTTAATCGGGACAAAATATTGGACTACAGTCATAATTTAGCCTACAGACAATTATGTATCGGAATGCAGTTTAGTAGTTTTATAAATGATGATATAAATAAATCAATTTATTTACATTGTGGTTATTAGTAAATACTTTCTAATTCTATCATGAAGTTTAATTTTATGATGTAAACTTTAGATCATATTTCTTAATTTATCCACAGGGATTAAGGAAATGAACATTATTTCTTATGTTTTTATCATAATGGTTTTAATGGATCTTATTGAATAAAACTTTAGCCTACAAGCAAGTTTTATGTCACTTGATTTTTCAACTCATTTGATAACTGTTTCATCATAAATAAAATTTTTCAGTTTGATTTAATTGAGTAAACCTTTAGCCCACAGGAAAATTTTATATCACTAGATTCTTCTGGCTATTTAGTAATTGGGATTAAAATATTATCATAAGGATTTCTTATTGTATTTAATAGAATTAAAACTTTAGCCCACAGACAAGTTTTATGTCAATAAATCCATCAACCCATTAGATAATAATTTTATCACAATTCTTACAAATTATAAATTTAGCTCAATTATAATTCTAAGTTTCATGGTTTGCATTGGCAAAACATGTATTCAATCACTTCCCAAAATTTAGTCACTTTTATTAATTGATCCACAAATCTTGCTCGGTTCTTCAGACTAACTGTAGTAAGTTACGTGATTTGGTATACATCTTTTGGATTCCAAATAATAAAATGTATATTTTGAGCCAAATTCTAATTAACTTGGTTTTGGAAAATGTATTTTTTTTTTTTTTTTAGTATGTCCAACTATGGTGCAGAATTATGGCCATGTTTGATAAAAAATTGGCCTATAGGCCAGTTTTGACTTATTTGACCACTATTAATTGTTTGATTTAGTTAAAATATCAATATAAGTGTTTGGTTAATTAGCTTTTTGCAACTCCAAAATGCTAAAATTCAAAAAGCTACTTCAAACAACTTTTTCAATTAGCTTTTTCAGAAAAAAAAAAAAATTATACCAAACATCTATCGGTTATCAGCTAATTTACCAAACACTTTTCTACAACAGCTAATGTTATCAACTAGTTATACCCTCTAATTAACACAATCAGCTAACAGCTAACAACTTTGAACTAACAGCCATTTACCAAAAAGGGCCTATATCTGCATTATTTAGTTGGACCGAAGGAAAGCATTTGTGCATCTGGACACCTTCCAACCTCAACTGAGGCAGTCCCTTCTCACATTCAATGTTGTTTCAACCTCTGGAACAGAGGGTTTTGAGGGGGTTTGGGGAATAAAACATTGGGGTTTCTCAAAAGTAAGTTGTTGTGTTGGGGTAGTTCATCTGTCAGGGTTCAATACATGCACATGAGGTGTATAGCCTATGTGTTGAACTTAGTGCTGCAAGATGGATTGAGATTTGCTGATTTTTCTTTTAAGAAGGTTAAGGATGCAGTGAGAGATAAGTGAGGAAATCACCTGCAAGACTGTGATTATGTGAAAAACTTGAGTTACAAGATGAAATTAAACTGTTAATGTAAAAACAAAGAAACAGGGCTATATATATATATAGCCAAACTGAATTACAATAGATCAAAATCACCAAGAAAACATCATATCACTACTAACAAACTCTTATATAAGCTCATCAATCACCACTAACAAACTAGATGAGCTGCATACAAACCTTCCAACATAACATACATTGCTTGGACTTTATTAGTATATACTAGAGTACTAGTACGTACACATTGCTGAAGTGGTAGACTACTTATTATTATTATATGCTTCAACTACCAAAAGCAACAACGAGATAGCACTCAAGGTAATAGAAAGCACCTTCCATAGAGCGTAAAAGAATTTTTTTAGTTTCTGCTTCCACACATGACTTCTTTTGCGACAAAGCTTATTCACAGCTGTGTACACCGACGCAAAGTAGAAGTTGGTGGAAGTATCTACCTCAACACTGAGATTGTTCAAAGACTGTGGACTGTGGACCACATGGATCGGAGTAGATTTATGGGTTGTCCAGGGAGATAATCATCATAAAAGTTACAAAACCTAAAGTTTGGTGCTAAAGATGCAAAACTGAACTTCACCAGTCTTATGAAACTCGGAACTTCTCCTGGAATATGGGCAGTATTTTTTCGATAAATGGCAGTGAGGACCTCAAAAGGGAGTTGATTCTCGAACAGAAGCATGTCTTCACGAGCTTTCTTCCCATCAACGCTTCTGCGAGGATCACCATTGCCGCCTTCCTTGCACTTCAGAACAAACGCAACCACAAAACAACCATCGAGCAGTAACACTTCTACCAACTCTTCATCATCCTCCGGGTAGGTAATCCCAGTTTCCTCATAATAATTTTTGGCTATGCCCATCAATTCAGGATTCTCAACTATTTCCTTGTATTCCTCATACTTTGCTGCCCTTTTGAGAAAAGACTTCAAATATATTTTCTTGTATTCCTTGTCCTTAACTTGATCAACCTCTTTAGAGTACTTAGGCCCAATAGATACCAAAGATGGTTTATAGAAGTTGCGCTTCCAAGAATTTTCTTGATAAGCACCTGAAATTTCTATTGCCTGCCAGTGAAGACATATCATTACTTTAATGAGTAATTTATGGATGCAAAAGGTATACATAAAGTTGTAGTCCTTAACCCAACAAGGTAGCTCAAATGGCAAATGAACTCTCTTTGTGGGGGAGAATTGAATTTCGGGATAACCCAGGTTCGACTCTCACAAGTGACAATCCTCTTTGGGCCAGCTTTTGTGCCTCCCGGAGCGAATCGGGTGGACCTGGACCGTTAAACGGACAGGGAAAGACCCGGACCACAATGTGTGATTGACACCACAAAAAAAAAGTTGTAGTCCAAATTGTGGCGTGTCATGTGAACTTTTGAAATTTTAGTAAGAGAATCATATTTTATTTATTTGGTCACTTTTCTCAAGATAAATTGTTTTATTATTAATCCTACAAAAAAATTGAGGGTTTGTTTGAAAATTCAAAAATGACTTTCGAAAGTTATTTTATGAATTTTTCTATGTTTAGATATTCAAGAAAAATTAAGTTAAACAAAAATATTCATTCTGCTCAACGAGAAAAAGACTTAATTTGACGAAAAATGTTGTTTCAATATTTTCAGTCCGAAGACATTTTTCAAATTCTTTATTTTTTCTTATTTATCTCCTCTTTCATTTCTTTCCGAGTTAGTTTTCATATTATTATTACCACCACTATCATACCCAATTGTATATCGTGGACCAAGGTCCACAATGTATTATGGACCATCGCTCAATACACAGAATTTAACTTTATAATGTACCAAATTCATGTTCATAATACACATACGACATACCTGTCCATTATCAATTCCTTTGCCAAGCATGTGATCCATTAAATCGGCCGCATCCACAAAAGGCTTCATTATATCGTCCGGATCCTGTTGTTCCAATAATTGATAAATTATTATATCACTAATCATTTTCAATTTGAAATAACGTTCAATGATTCAGCCCATAATATGTACTATTAAATCTTTCATTTATTACTAAGGACCTTATGGGTGAATGTTATCTAGTTGCTTTTTTAAATGGGAGGTGATAGGTTCAAGCCTTAGTGGAGGCAATTAATAGTTGGGTATCCTCATTCTCTTGTAATAATAAAATCTTTCATTTATCTAATATTTTGAGAAATTGATACTTCTCTTCTCAAAATTATAAGAAAATAATATTTTTAGTCCTCAATTTTATTCGTTATCACTTTTCGTCCCCTTAATTGCTTGTGAAATGATTTTGGCAAATTGACTTTTCGAACGCAACCCTAACAGAAGTTTAGAACAAAAAAAAAAAAAAAAAAAAAATCACTTCGCAGACAGTATATTTGTGGAACGAAAGTGCAATTTAAAAATAATAATAATAATTTTGCAACAAAAAGTATCATTTTCCTTAATACTTTTTTACATTAAAAAAAAAAAAAAAAAAAAAAAAAAACACACACACACACACACAATTGAGCTCATATAACTAAAGTGGCAATTTATATCCTACGCCACGGAGCGCGTTGCAATATGCGCCCAGATGCAAAACGACGTCGTTTTAATTTTTAATTTTTTTTGAAATTTCCCGCCCCAGTGAATGGCAGTAGTTTTTTCTTAAAAAAAAAAAAAAAAAAAACCCGCTGTTCAAGAATGTACATAATGTTATACTAGAATACACATAATTGTATACATGAATGTACATAATTATATAACAAAATATACATACTCTTTTTAAAAGATAATACACATAATCTAACATAATACATAATAAACATAAACTTTTAACATAATACACATCAACTATTAACATAATACACACAGATTTAAAGATTCGGATGTACATAATTGTATAAAAAGAATGTACATAATTGTATAAAAAATGTACATAATTGTATGAACCAATACACATAACTGTATGAACACATACACATAACTGTATGAATAAATACACATAATCCCAGCAGCTTCCTACCGCGCCTCCCAAAACGATCCCACAACGACGTCGTTTTGGGAGGCGCGCGGCGCACAGTGCTATGTGCACCGTGGTGTAGGGTATACCGATTGAACTAAAGTCTCATTTTATGGGCCTACGCTACGAAGCATTCAAAATCAATTGTCTTTTCTTGACAGGTACTGGAAAGGCTTGGAGGGTAATTTGGGAATTTGGAAAGGAATGAATGTATTAATCACTTTATGAATAAATTTTTTATATATATAAATAGTGGCTATTAAAAGTGGCCATAGGCCGGTTTAAGATTGAACTAGCCTTGAATTGATCAGAGAAAATTTGGCCAAGTTCAAACCGAGACCGGTTAGTAAGGGGCCGGTTCAGGTCCTATTAAAAATATCAGGGACCACCTTAAAACCGGCTCAAAATCTAGTCTAGCTACGGCTTAAGCCGGACTTTGTCACGGATGTGTTTGAATTAATAAATAAAGTGTTTAAAAAAAATTTAGATAATACTTCTTTTAATACTTGATCTATGAGCATTTACTTCAAACCTTATATTTACTTGTTAGTGGATGGTCAATTATTGCACTCATGTTCTAAAAGTATGTGTTAAATAAGGAATCAAAATGATCAAAGTTTGAGTGCTTTTGTTGAACCAATTAGAAAATGTACTAAAAGATAAAAGGAAAAAAAATGATTTTAAAATATTGTGTGCACATGATTTTTTTTTTTTTTAAGAAAAGACATTTTAGTTTAGATATACCTAAATTCTATATTTAAATTGTTGTGTGAAATTGCTCTATATCATGAGGTAATAACTACTTTGTATAACAGTAATCTAACTAGTGACACTAGCATAATTACAACTATGTGGGTTTTGATTCCTCTATGACGTTAGAAATGTCCATTATAAAATATCAAACACCCATAATAAGGTTCAAATACAAAATACATTATAAATTACATAGTAATTAGGGCGGAGCCAAAAATATACTTGAGTAGAGTAAAATGTGAAATTTTAAAACACTTTGAAATGCTATAAAAATATTTACGACAAAATATGAATAATAATCAACTAGATAAAAATAATTTGAATAGAACAAATACTATATTCATAAATACTTTTAATTTTAATTTATTTAGTTAGATAAATTGTAAGTTTTTTAAACTAATTCGAATACGATGAAGTATAAATGTATAATATACACTTGTGTACTACATTAGTTAAATGGTTCGTAAAAAGTAGACTAAAAGAGCAATTAATTTGTTAATAAATGATTAATAAAAAGTAGATTATAAAACATTTATGTTCCGTTTGGTTCACGGAATAGGCCGGGAATGGCATAGCATTCCCAGTAATAGGCCTATTCAGTTGTTTGGCAACCGTTTTTATTACCGGGAATAATATTCCCAGTAATACCCTATTCCTCCAGATAAGGTAATAGCTATTATCAGGGCCCCCCTCTGGTATTAGGCTATTACTGAGTTCTCAGGAATAGCCTAAAATTTCTACTTCCTATTTTACCCCCCGTCACCACCACCCCACCGCCACCAGCACCACCACCCCACCACCACCAGCACCGCCGCCGCCACCACCACCACCATCGCCGCCACCACCGTCGCCACCACCACCACCACCACCACCATCGCTACCAGCATTGCCACCGCCACCAGCACCACCACCCCACCAACACTACCACCACCACCGCCACCACCACCGCCGCCACCACCGCTGCCACCGCCACTACCACCGCCACCAGCACCACCACCCCACCAACACCACCAGCATCGCCACCACCGTTGCTACCACCGCCGCCGCCGCCGCCGCTACCACCGCCGCCGCCGCCGCCGCCACCACCGCTGCCACCGCCACCACCACTGCCACCAGCACCAGCACCCCACCAACATCACCAACACCAGCACCAGCACCGCCACCACCTGCCGCTACCACCACCGCCGCCGCCACCACCACCACTACCGCTACCACCATCGCCGTCGTCGCCGCCGCCACTACCACCACCAGCAACACCGCCACCATCGACACCACCACATATTTTTATAAGGGTATTTATGTCTTTTAAAACATATTTCATTTCTATTTCTCAAACCAACCAAACACGGTAATATAATTCATAAAGTCTATTCCTTTCGCGAACCAAACAATAGAATACAATTCATATTCTATTCCTTGCCTATTCCATTCCTTATGGAATAGCATTCCTATTACCTCAAAATTCATTCCGTGAACCAAACATGCTGTTAATTTGTCTTGTGAAGGAATAGAAGAAGTAAAATAAACGAAAAAAGATAAGGGTAATGTTGCTAATGGTTTTCAAACCAGTGACATAGGCAATTTAACATTAAATTTAAAGTTTTCAACCAACTAAACTACACAAATATTTACTAATTTATACATAAATATAGTATTTATATATAAGTTATTGCTATATATGTATATATACACATACAAGCTGCCACCACTATGGGTATGTCCATATATATATATATATATATATATATATATATATATATATATATATATATGTATGTATATATGTATGTATGTATATTAGTGGGTCAAATATTTTTTTAAAAATATAATAATTTTATAACAACAACAACAAGGCAAATTATGCTGTGCATCCGTATGCACCATGCATGGTGCATACGGATGCCAAAACGACGTCGTTTTAATAAAACGCGCGTCTCCCCTTAAAAAAAAATCAGGTTCGATTCCCAGCAACAACATATAAACTAAAATTCCATAATCGATGAACTATAATTCCATAATCGATGAACTATAATTCCATAATCTAATCTATGAACTAAAAATTCCAGAATGAATGAATTAAAATTCCATAATCTATAAACTAAAATTTCAGAATCGATGAACTACAATTCCATAATCGATGAACTATAATTCCATAATCAATGAACTATAATTCCATAACCTATGAACTAAAATTCCAGAATGAATGAACAATATAATGTTGTTGCTGGGAATCGAACCTGAATTTTTTTTAAAGGGAAAACGGCGCGTTTTTTAATAAAACGGCGTCGTTTTGGCATCCGTATGCACCATGCATGGTGTATACGGATGCACATCATAACGATTGCAACAACAACAACAACAACAATAATAATAATCACAAGCCTAGCACAAGATCGGCCCACGAGAGGCACGATTCTAGACCTGGCAAGGGACCGGCCTAATACCAGACTTTGCAGCAATTATATCGTGAACCATGGTCTACAAAGCTTAGTGGACCATGATCCAAAAACAACGTCATTTCTTTAAGTAAAAAAATGACTGTTGTTACAGCTTTTGTGTGTTAATTACAAAATGAAACTGGTTCACATATTATTTTTATATTATCAAATGAAACTGTAATTGAATTGAAATGAAACTTTAGTTGTGTTGAAAAAATGAAACTGTAATTGTGTTGAAATAATGAAACTACAGTGTATACAAAATGAAACTGAATAACAGTTTCACATATTTGAGTGTATATTGTCCAGTGAAACTGTAGTTATATAGAAATGATAATGTAGTTGTACTGTAATGAAACTATAGTGTATATAAAATGAAACTGAATAACAATTTCACATATTTGATGTATAATGTCGAATGAAACTATAATTGAATTGAAATGAAATTGTAATTGTGTTGAAGTGAAACTGCGGTGTATATAAAATGTAACTAAATAACAGTTTCATATATAATTACCGAAATGATATTGTAGTTGTATTGTAATGAAACTATAGTGTATATAAAATGAAACTGGATAACAGTTTCATATATTTGATGTATAATGTCGAATGAAACTAGTTATATCGAAATGAAACTGTAGTTGTATTGAAATAAAACTGCAATGTATATAAAATGAAACTGAGTAACAATTCCACATATTTGAGTGTATATTGTCCAATGAAACTGTAGTTATATTGAAATGATATTCTAGTTATGTTGGAATGAAACTATAGTGTATATAAAATGAAACTGAATAACGGTTTCACATATTTGAGTGTATAATGTCGAATGAAATTGTAGTTATATTGAAATGAAACTGTAATTATGTTGAAATGAAACTGCAGTGTATATAAAATGGAACTGAATATGTTATACAAACAGAGTTACTTTTTGTGGAACGGCGCAAAACGTGTGTCGTTTCTTTTCATTAAAAAAAAAAAAAAAAAAAAAAAAAAAAAAAAAAAAAAGACACCGTTTTGATGCCTGGACTATATATAATACATTGTGGACCGCTGTCCATAGTAAAATTTGCCTCGACTTTGGCCACCTCTACTCCTCTAGTGGCTATTAGGGAGTTATAATTGTAGCAATTGTTATACACTTATACCATGGACTAGAGTCTACCTTGCATGGTGGACTTAGATCTAAAAGTTATGTAAATAAATTACAGATAAAAATTTGTAAACTACAAACACATAATATGTTAACTACAGATACATAATATGTTAACTGCAGATACATAATATGTTAACTACATATAATGTGCTTGTAGTTTACAGATTATGTGTCTTCAGTTTATTTACAAACACATAATCTACTAAGCGAAACACATAACATTTTAACTTGAGACACATGGGCTTGTTTGGTAAAATAGTTAGCATATCAGTAAATTTTGACTTATTTGATCATTATTAGCTATTTGACTTGACTAAATAATCAATATGAGTATTTGATTAATTGACTTTTTGTAACAACTTATTGCTCCAAAATGCTAAAATTCTAAAATCTAATCAAAGTAGCTTCTTTTTTTTTTTTATCAGCTTTTTAAGAAAGTCATTTTGTATGTAATTAGCTAACAACTAACAGCTAATTTACCAAATATTTTTCTACAATCTGCTAATGATATCAACTAATCAAACTCACTAACACAATCAACTAACAGCTATCAGCTATCAGCAAATAGCCATTTACCAAACACCCTCATAATCTAAACATCATTTTGAACTAAAATCCATAATACAAGATGGACCTTGGTTCATGATATAATTTGCCTAATTGGAGAGGTGTTAAACACTTTTTATTTATTTTATATAACAATAAAATAACTAAAATAAATGAAACAATCTTGGTAAGTTTTTAGGTATATATACATGGAACGTAAAGTAGATTTCATACCACTATGACAGTATTATTCTGCCCAATTTGACTTTGATTAGCTTGCGTAGTGGTCAAGTTCTGGTAGTCAGAAATATTGCTGTCAAAATAATTGCTGTCAAAATTACTGTCTGCCATCCCACCTTTAATTTTATTTCTGTAAATCAAACATTGAAATTTAAATTACTACTTTATTTTTAATTAGTTGGTGCCAACTTACACACAATAGTTAGAATAAAAAGTCTTAAAAGAAAAATAAGTCAAAAATATTAGCATGTTACGATACTTAGTGAAATTTCATTCACACCCCAACTTTTAAATTTAATTCACACTACTAGAAATTATGAAATTTACGACCATCTGAAAGTGATTTTAAATCAAGTCGAAAGCCTTGTTTCGACCACTTTTGGTATCCGGAAAAACCTTTGTTTCTATTTCCAACTACTTTTTGTTTTCAACTTGATTTAAGATCACTTTCAGGTAGTCGGAAATTCCATAATTTCCGGTAGTATCATTTAATCTTCCATGATGTAATAAGAATTATTAGTAAATTGGCAGTAAACATTCTTTAAAATTGTATAATGACCAACTCTTTTGAAAGATTGGAATATAAAATGTAATCGGTAAATATGATTTGATAAAAAGTAAGGTGGGATAATTTTTAAAATGGGATAAAAACTGCAAGTTTTTATGCATACCTGATCTGAGGATATTCCTAGAATTATTGAGAGGTTGAGAGGATTGAATGCAAGTCGATAATGATTGGAGTGATGTATTTATAGTTTAGAATTCCAAATGTAAAAGGTTGATAACGTCATTATGATGACGTCATCCATGTGAGCACCATCACCAACGTGACACTTCCAACAAAGGAAACTAGGCTACAACTTCGAAAAAAAATTATTAATATTAATATTATATTAATATTTTTTTAAAATAAAAGTTTCGTTAATAGCCGAAATGGTCCTCGACTATACTTTTTACCTAAGAGGAAATTTCAATTTGGTCCTATGACTATAGGAGTCTTGTTAATTTCAGTCTCTGACTTTTAAAAGTGTCAATTTGATACTTAATTATGCGATTTTTGTCAATTTTGGTCACTCAGATTAAATTGTCGACCAAATTCCGTTGGAAATTTTTAATTGTTAAAATAATGAGGATATTTTGATCATTTCAAGTCTCTTTTTTTCTTCCCGGGCGAGTCCATCCCTTCCTCTCCCGTTTTCGCCTTTAAATTTAAATTTAACAGCTTATGGATGGAATTTTAACGGAGGGCCAAATTGGGTAGGATTTTCATAGTTTAGGACTTAATTAGGTAAAAATTATAGTCGAAGATCAAATCAGTAATTTCGCTATAGTCAAGGGATCATTTCGGTTATTAACTTTTTCGTAAATTAGATATTATCACCCGCCATAAAAAGTCAAACAAAGCACGGAATGAGATACTATTCTATTCCATACTATCTAACTTGAAAATGACATTTGATCTCTAGCTAATGAATAAATTGTCATATTCACATATCACTTAACGAACAAAAGATTAATAGAACCAAAACATTTAACTATTTCTTTAATGTCATTAAGAACAAGATCAAAAATAGATACTTCATTGTCTTTCTTCATATATCCTCTATTATCACAAGCTTTGCATCTATTTCAACTTGAACCTAGGTAAAAATGCTAATTCTTTAGCCAGCTTAGGGCCTCCTTCATTCCCACAACTTCTACCACACTAGAGTTGTAATTACCCTCTCTATTGTATTTGGTTAGCAGCCACAAAAGATCCATTAGAGTCTCTAATGATACACCCAAATCCCATTTTAGTTGAATTGATATCAATAGTAGCATCAACATTAAGCGTTTCTATCAAAAACATATTCTTAAAACTACTTTTCTCTAGCTTTATCCCAAAAGGCTGCTTTCTTTCTAAGAGCATCCACATTTGTTGGGGAGAATAGGGTGATAATGTAAGAGTGATTAGGAAAGAGAAGATGGGAGGAGAGAGAAAAAAAAAAAAGAAAAATTAAATTTAAAAAAAATATAAAAAATTCAGACTGTCAGGCGCGCGCGTGCACCGCACGCGCCCGCTGTGCGCACTGGTGAGGTGGTTTTTGTGGTGGGTCCCATCATTTCTGCATTATCTCTTCATTTGCAGAACAATTCTTTTTCAATTATCTCCCCTCCACACTAGTTATTATCTCATGTAGGGAAGAATTAATGCTGAAATCTCCCCACAATATGCACAAGTGTGGATGCTCTTAGAGCATCCACAATGGTTGGGGAGAATTGGGGGATAATGTAAGAGTGATTAGGAGAGAGAATGTGGGAAGGGGAGGAAAAAAAACAAACAAATCAAAATCAAAAATTAAAAAAAATAATAATAAAACAACTAAAGGGTCAGGCGTGCCGTTCGGCGCGCCCGTGTGGGCGGGTTGCTGTGCGCGAAACGCGCACAGCAACCCCCTTTTCTTTTCTTTCTTTTTCTTCTTTTTCTGCCATTCTCTTCAATTTTGCAGAGGCATTCTTCCCCAAATAAATCTTCCCTACATTAGCTTTGAACTTGAACAAGAAGATTTCATCTGACATGCTCCCCACATTATCCCCTTAGTGTGGATGCTCTAACAGCAAATATAATAAATTAAATCTACAAATTTATATAAAAACAAATAATATCATGCCAATCTCCCGTGAGACCGTCTCACGGGTCTCAATCCGTTAGTTAGATAGACTCTAATAAAAATGAGTCATAAAAATTGTAGATATAACCAATATTTTAAACCTTATATGTAAACTAGTCTTTTCTATGCGTGATGCACAAAAACAATGCCCAATATTTAGACTAGTGCTTTTTACAATGTTACAAAAATTTATTTTAAAGACAATTATAATCAATATCTCTTATATTATATATCTTGCATTCATATACTTTGAATTATCAATTTCAATTTTTTTTAAAAAAAATTAATATTTAATTACCTATACATGAACATCTCATATATAATCGTGCGTTAATTTATTTTAAAATTAGACATTATCTGTTCGCGCAATGACCATAAAAAATAATAATAATAATAATAATAATAATAATAATAATAATAATAATACGTAGTATAATATCAAAATTATCCCATAAATATATATATATATATATATATATATATATATATATATATATATATTCATAACATGCATTTCTCGAATGCGTGTTATACTTTGCTTACAGGTGGTTTTTCCTCATTTCAAATCACTCCTGTTTTCAAAACCATATTGAAAATATCCTGACGTGGTTAGGATTCCTTTTTCTTACCCAAAAGGTTGAATCTCCAATCTGACTCCACAGAGTATGTGGAAAGATACGGTGACTTAATGGGTTAGTAGACAGAGGTAAATGTTGGTGCACACAAGAAATCTGACTACTTTAAACATAATTCTCACACTGCCGACGTTGAAGTTCGAACCTTAATCTCTTACCTCAAATACTGTCCACTAAACCATTGAGCTAAATCCGTACGGGTATGGATTCGTTTTTCTGTCGCTACTGTATCGAATTAGAGAAAGCTAAGGTCGAATGGTCAGTGAATGAAAGCTTTTTGTGACTCTATCCAGTACGTATATATAATGGCCGACAATAATTCTGCTTTCTCTTGGAATTTTTTTGAATCCATATGTGCCAATAAATTAAAGAAAAAGTAGAATTATTGTCGGCCATTATAGAAGAAATTCTAACCAGCGTTTAGCTTTTTAAACACCTTTTTAACTCTGATAGAAATATGAATCAAAATTTAACTTTTTTAAAATACAATTATAGGATTTGATTATCCCTTCATTTAAAGTCCTATTCCTAATTTAAAAAGGTAAATTTTCATCTTATTAGTAATATATATGACTTTTTAAGTTTAAATTAGTGTTTTTTAACTTTTGTTTTGATTTTTTTTTTTGTTTATATTGGTGTTTTGAATGTCATTATATTAAGTTCAATTGCTTTGATTTTTATTTTGTTTTGTTTATTTATTATTATTATTTATTTTTTTTTGGTTTTTTAGAGCTTTATTCTTATTATATAGGGTCGTACATAACCAAATACCAATATTGACAATTATTACAATTCTATCATACTACCAAATATATAAAATACTTTCACTAAAACTCATACAATTGCCAAGTATTTGATTCTCATTCCAATTATGATTTTCATGTGCCAACCAAATGCACCCTAAAGTTATCCACAATTATTTAGGTAGCTTTTACTCTATTATTGATGATCGATCATGACAATTTTATTGATTATTTAGTTAAATTTTATGTTATGTATTGTCAATGTTTTAAAACCATTCAGATGAAAGTTAATTAATTCACGTGTAACTAATAAATAAAGATAAATGAAAAATTAGATTACTGAACTAAAAAAATTAAGAGTGTATTTTGTTCCCACATGGGAATTGGAATCAGAATGAAAATCAAATATTTGGTAATTGTAATGAGTTTTGGCGAAAGTATTTTGCATGTTTGATAATAGGGTGAGTTGGAATGCTTATCAATATTGTTGTTTGGTTATGTATGATTTTATAATGAGAATACATATTTTAAAAATACAAGAACAAAAAATCAAGACAATTGATTCTAATTCTAATATAAAGACATACAAAGGGACAAAATACCTAGCTATGAGGTCCATGTACTATAGTGTTTAGTTCAATTTAATCCTTCTACTTTAATTTTGTTCATATTAGTCCCTATACTTTAAAAAGTATTTTGCATGTTGGGTAGTAGGGTGGAATGAGAATGATTAGGCTAAGGATGAATAATGGGATGAAACCCTTATAAAATAAGGAAATGAGTTTTTCCATTAATAGGGTATTCCAAACTCATAGTAGTGTTTTAAAAACCAGTCAACTGTACAATAACAATCACTTTCATACTCATACCTGAGTCAAGTATGGGACAAATATGACTAACGGTCTACCGTTCAAGAGGCAACACATCAAGAACATCAACTGTGGCTGGAGATAACACGACTATCGCTTCTGCTTATACGTACGAGGTCAGGCATCTCGTATTATTATTCAATATAGTTAGATTATTTATGTCTAACATTGATCTTGAGTCCCTCTATATAAGAGGAGTAATGCTCATCTTCCAAACATAATTGATTGCCCATCAACGTGGGCAAGTATTGAGAAGTCAAAAACTCTTATTTTAGAAGCCTTAATGAGTTCTTATAGTTTTTCTTTAATTTATCTATTTATTTATTTATTAGGAGGTTTTGGAAAAAGATTAATCTTAATCTTTTTCCAAAATGTATATGTGTTGTTTTTGTTTTTAGCAGTTTGGAGCAAAGGGGAGCCGTGTGCTTCCCTTTGTAAATGATATGGTATCATTTTGATCCCACGTCGAAAATGTTTGAATAATTAGCTGAAAATAAAAATTAATAATTGGCTAAAAATGAATCTAATATTATTAATGGACTGAAAATATAAAAGGAAATGAATATTAATAATTGACTGCAAATAAAAAATGATACATAATTGACTAAAATAAAAAAGAAATGATAAGATCATTGAATTTTAAATAAAAATTGAATGGAAATTAAAAATATGACGAAAATATTTCAATAATAATATTCTACAGCATCAATAGTAAATGCATATTTTAAATAATAGTAAAGGTAAATTAAAAATGAAACGAAAATATTTCAATAATAATATCTACACCATCTATGAAAAATGGAACGAAAATTAGGTAAAAATATCAATTCATTTGATATTCTAATTGACTAATTGACTGAAAATAAAAAAGAATAATTGACTGAAAATGAATCTGATATTACTAATTTACTGAAAATATAAAAGGATCACTAATTAAGTGATATTCTACCATTATATATTTTCACCAGAGTCATCCGTCCTAATGGACTGAAGGTGTTAGCTCTAGACGATGATTAACAAAATTGTGTTGCCACTACCAATGTCGTCTACAAAGAGGTTTTAATAATGTGTAAACATAATCGGTGATATTATATTCTTTTTTAAATGGAAAAATTACTATATATCTAGACAATTAAAATTAATTACACTTTCATTTCTTATGGTAATTTTATGTTAATTTCAACTTCAGTTTATTTTTTCTCTTTTTTTTTTTTGTAAAAATAAAACTAATGTATAAAAAAATATACCATTCAAAAGCTTTAATTAAGATCTTTTGAATGACATCCATATTGATATATTTTTATTTTTTATTTTTAAATAAATCTATAGGTACATAAAGTCATTACTTTAGTGTAATATTTATATACATTAAGCTTTAATTTGTTTTTATTAACATATAGAAATAACATTATGAACCTACACTATCAAATGAATAGAAATACATATGATGTATATTTAGTTTAAGATTTTTGGACATTACAACTTATGTTTATAGACATATAGAATAAATATTAGAATAAATTTCACTTTTAGTCCACTGATATTATACATGAATCACATTTGGTCCTTGACTATTAAAATTTTTAAATTAAGTGCATGACTATATAATTTGTATCATGTTTGGTCATTGACTATTAAAATTTTCTAATTAGATGCATGACTATATATTCTAAGGATCATTCTATGTATTGGGATTCTATCCCGCTTGACTCGATCTATTACAAGTTTGATTAATTAATACAATCGCCAGATTGGTTTTCAAAAAAATATATATTCTGAGGAGAAACTAAAGTTTCATTGGGCCTCTTGGAACAAGTTGTGCTATGCTATCCGGTGGAGGGAGGGAGGATGGGGTTTCGATAGTTGGTGGCGATTCAACTAGCAAATACAGGTAGGTTACGTTGTATTTACAATTGTAAGAATAATCTAGGGATTTTGCCTTCTGACATTCTAATTGGATTAATAGTTTACTTACTAAATACTCCAAGCTGATGGGATTGCATGCATACAACAAATTGAGGGTTTTATTTTTTGTTAAAATATTTGATATGCATGTTGATAGAATTGCAAATTAAAGAATCATTTGTCATGTACAAATTAAAAAGTGATGTATGTACAAAATAATAGAAAAACATAAGCACAAACCCAACAAGTTTAATCGGATAAATGCAAACAACAATAACACTAGCTATACAATGTTGATAACCTCGGGACAGAAGACACACACTAGTCATGATGAAATTAAAGTTTAAGACACAATACACCTTGCAACCAGCTAGATTATATTCAAGTTTTGTTTAACAAAGTAGTATATATGCAGTACACATTGATATGATGAAACTAGTTAAACTACATCTTAAATACACAGTACGTACATATTTTAATTAGGGATTGAAATGGGTAGAGGAAGCAGCTAGGGTTATTAATAATATTTTTTTCTAACTGCCAAAATCAACAAGGGGACACCGACGAAGATACTAGCAAACACTATCAATACACTGTTAAAAGATCCTGGTTGGCTCAATAAATAACAATAGGTATTGCGAGAATGTTCATCCACATCCTTGTACACCGACGAAAAATAGAAGTTGGTGGAACAAGTATAATCTTCATCTAAGAGGTTGTTGAAAATATAGGCCACCTTATTATCTTCATCTAAGAGGTTTTGAATGATCCCATTCTTGCGGAGCAAAGTGACGTCTCTTTTGGTGTCCAACAAGTGGTCCATTAACCTCGTATAATCGGTGAAGTATTTGGGGTTTAGTGTGTCGCAGCGCTGCTCCATGGCAATCATGTTTCGGAAGAATAGTTCAGTGAAGTTGTCAACTTTAAAGCAAGGTATGGTCATTACCCCATTATGAAAGGTTATATCGAACAAGCTAATGGCACCACTATATTCGGGTGATGGAATATTTTCATATTTCTTTGGCATATTGAAGACTTGTCCAATCTTGTCAAACCTAACTCCAACCTCTTTAAGCTCTGTGGCACTGTTCATATGGTTTAATTTTAGCCACATATTTTCTTCATTCCCTTTTGCGGCTTGGGAAACTAGGGTTTGGGCATTGCTCGGAAGACAAAGACTGTAGACAACATGGAGTAGATCCATGGGTTGTTGAGGCTTATTGTCATCATGAAAGTTATTAATGGTAAACTTTGGTGCTAAAGATGCAAAAGCGAACTTCACCAGTCTTATGAAACTAGGAACTTCGTCAGTATTACCCGTAGTCATTTTCTTATAAATGGCAGAGAGGACGTCAAAAGGGAGTTGATTCTCGAACAGAAGCATGTCTTCACGAGCTTTCTTCCCTTCAAAGCTACGGCGGGGATCACCATTGCCGCCTTCCTTGCATTTCAGAACAAACTCCACCACAAAGCAACCATCAAGCAACAACATGTCTACCAGCTCTTCATCAGTATGGGGGTAGGTAATTTCAATTTCCTTATAATAATTCTCGGCTTTGTCCAACAATTTCATCTCTGGATTCCTAAGGCATCCCCGATACTCATCCACCGAGTGTCCCACATCCCTTTCGAGAAAAGACTTCATATATATATTCTTGTATTCCTTGTCCTTGACTTGATCAACCTCTTTAGAGTACTTGGGTCCAATGGATACCAAAGATGGTTTATAGAAGATGCGCTTCCTAGGATATTCTTCATAAGATGATATTTCTATTTCCTGCCAGTGAACACTAGCACCATTGATTTAATGAGGTAATTAAAAATTGAGAAATTATATCTTAGTATCCTATTTTAGTTTGCCAATTTTTATTTTTAGTTTGTCTATTAAATATGTTGAACGTCGGTCAAGTTCAACACGTGTTCAATTTGAGATGGAGTGTTGTGACTTACCAAAGAGACATGTGGTTAAATGATTAATAATTGCCTACTTATCCTAATTGGTTTTAAGAAAGATATAACAACCAGATAACTAAAATGGTTAATGTCTACCTATTTATCACCAATTAGGTGTAAGAAGGATATTACAACATAGGGATTTGGTCATGTTTGCTGAGCCATTGAATCACCGTGATACATATTTCCAAATGCTCTATTGGGACAGGGTGTGGGGGGCCAAGAGATTTAACCTTTTGGGAGAATAAGGATATGACAACCGAGGGACGACCTAGGGAAAGTAAGCATAGTGAAGCACTAGATCCAACACAATAAGCATGCATTTATACTATTTTTAAGGGTCTAATCGAGTTTTAGTCTTTCATCAATTCTTACTTTTATACACTTTTAAAAAATTTTAAGGACATTAAAAGTTTGGTGGTATTCGATTCAAACTTTTAAAGAGTCTTTAAAAGTCTATCGGTATTTTATTAGGACTTTTATAGATTTTTTAAAAGTCTACCGGTATTTAAAAACTTATTAACTTTTATAGACTTCGTCATATTAAGATGTTCTGTAGACTTCTTACTCACAAATATAAATAGTTAAAATCCGACACTCCAATCCCACACTTGAACTAAGTATGGGAGCCGAATCCAATCCCGAGAGGGGGATTAATAGGTGTGGAGGCTATATTATGCATACAGTGCCAATAGACTTTTTCCTGTCAGACAAACTTTTCATTTATTCCTGTTAAAGTTTACATCATAACTTTCATAAATACTCTTTCCTTTTTTTCTTATCTTTCACTCTTTTTCTTTTCTAGTCACATCTGCTCATAAAATCATATGACGGACAGATATTGTTTTTTTACTATGAAGATTTAACATTTGTATTTGGGATTACTACTACTACCGAGGAAAAATCTCTATTGGATTGGGTGATGAAACTTATGCAAGAACCTATGGTGTTGAAGAAGATACTTGGATAATGGTAAATGCTCATATACTTTTTATTTTTATCTTTTACTCTTTTCTTTTCTAATCATATCCTACTCATAAAAATCTACCGACAGATATTGTTGCTGACTTTGAAGATTTAATATTTGTATTTGGAATCGGAGTACTATTGCCATAGAAAAAAAAAATGATTTGATTGAGTGATGAAACTAATGCAAGATTCTATGGTGTTGAATAAGATATTTGGATATGATAAATATTCCTATCCTTATTATTTTTATCTTTCACTCTTTTTCTATTCTAGTCACAACCTACCCATTAAAACTTACGGACAGATATTGTTACTGACTTTGAAGATTTTAACATTTATATTTGGGAGTACCACTGCAATAGGAAAAAGCTAGCTTTATCGGATTGGGTGATGAAACTAATGCAAGAACTTATGATGTTGAAGAAGATACTTGGATAATGATAAATACATATATACTTTTCATTTTTATCTTTCACTCTTTTTCTTCTAAGGGTGCGTTTGGAAACTCGGAAAATGACTTCCGAAAAATGTTTTCTGAGTTTTTAGTATTTGGCAAGAGGAGGAAAAATGAGGTCAATGGAAAATGATGCATTAGTCAAAGAAAAATGTGTATGTTTTTGGGGAAAATGACTTCCCTTTTTGTTTGGGAAGTCATTTTCCAAGGGATGCACATGCAAAAATTTTCGGGCCTAATTTTTTGCGGGCTTTTGCGAGTCGGCCAACCAAACCCGCAGGCTAAAGTTCATCCTACCAAAGCCCACCCCATGCGGGTTGGCGGGCCCGACGGACCGGTCCGCAGATTTTTTTTTTTTTTTTTTGAATTTAAAGTTCAAAAAAATAAGTAAAGTCTACAAATAATATTAATTTTTTAGTATTTAAAAATTTTTAATAAAAAAAATTACATATTTTAAAATGTTAATATTATATATATATATATATATATATATATATATATATATATATATATATATATATATATATATATATATATAATATTAACATTTTAAAATATGTAATTTTTTTATTAACAATTTTTAAATACAAAGAAATTAATATTATATATGGGGTGGGGGTGGGGGTGGGGGGGTGGGGTGAGGGGAGACAGCTGACCCCTCTGTCCCCCTTTGGCTCCGTCCCCCCCCCCCCCCCCCCCCCCCCCCACACAGATATATATATATATATATATATATATATATATATATATATATATATATATATATATATATATATATATATATATATATATATATATATATATATATTAAAAGAGTGCTATTTACAAAAGAATTTTATCAAAAGTATCAAATAATTAAAATTTTGAAATATTCATTTCATTTCATTTTCCTACTCATTTTCTAGAAAACGAACCAAACACACAAAGACAGTTTTCCGTTGTATAGCCAAACACCGAAAAGGAAAATGTTTTCTAGAAAATTATTCATTTTTCAGAAAATATTTTTCGAAAGTCATTTTTCAGATTTCCAAATACACCCTAAGTCACATTCGATCTACCCATAAAAAACCTACGGACATGCAGATATTGTTGTTGACTATTAATTAACATTATTGTATTTGGGAGTACTACTGTAGGAAAAAAAAAAAAAAAAAAAAAAAAAACTATCTGATTGGGTGATGAAACTGATTCAAGAAACTGATTCAAGAACCTTTGGTGTTGAAGAATTGAAGATACTTGGAAAGTGATACTGAAAAAAATATAATGGTTGTTGAGATGCTATTAAAGAACTCAAGAACTTGGATAATGGTTGTTGAGATGCTATTAAGGAACTCAAGAACTTGGATTTATAAAAATATATTATATATTACAAAAGTTTTTGTAATAAAATTATAAATAATGTATTAATAGAAGTTATGAAATGTTTGTAAGGGTTTATTGATAACTGATAAGTCATAAATTGGCCTACAATTGTGCTCTATATAATTATTGGTTAAATCTTTGTTGTTGGTATTATATATGAGTGTCTTTTGGTGTTTTTTTATTTTTATGGTAGGAAGGATGAAGTGGCCCAAGCAGGTAGTACAAGCTTGAAAAGAGAACAATTATAGAAGAAATCAATGCAAAAAGGGCAAATAAAATGGAAGCTCGAGAGCATGGCACTGAGCAAAGAAGTGAATGCGGAGTACAAAGTGTGCGTGTGTATGTGCATAGTAAAAATAATGAAAAAAGATAACGAAAATTATAACCGTAATTAAGGGTATGTTTGTGCAAATTAAAATAGTGTATATTATCTCTTATAGCATAATGTATAAAATATATATATATATATATATATATATATATATATATATATATATATATATAAAACGAAAAAAAAAACATAAATAAAAGATATAACCTCTTTCACACTTATTAGTTTTTAGATATATTACTAGATAGAAATGTAAAATTACCACAATGTAAATCTAGATGTCTTCGAAAAATAGATCGATTAAGAATGCAAACCTTTCCATTATCAATTCCTCTGTTACTCGTTAGATCCATTAAGTTGCCTATGTCCAAAGCAACCTCCTGCTTCTGTTGATCAGAAGTAGTGCTGGTATAACTGTCTGCCATCCCACCTTTAATGCAAAGATTCAAAGGATAAATAGCATTTTTTGAAAAATAAGTTAAATTCCATAAAGAATTGGTACCATTTTATTAAAGAACTGTAAATAATGGACTGGAATTTGCAGTAGAAAAGCAGAGAGAAAAGAATCTTAGTAATAGGGAAGAAGAAAAAGCAGGCATAAAAGAGGTAGAGAAGAGAGAAATTGCAGATAAGGAAGAAGAAGTTTGAGAGAGAGTTTTTAATAAATATTAAAAAATTATTTCTTTATTATTAGCAGTTAAAATGCACGTAAAAAGACTTTGAGGGGCTAATAATATAATTTTTAATGTCATTTAAATATATTTGTTGATGGATGACTAAAACTGATCATGACACAACAATATTAGGACCAACGAGATGTTTTGAAAAAAAAAACTTAACATTTAGAACTGAATAGACCAAAATGGCCTTATATTTAATGTCATTTAAACGATTTCGTTGACAGGGACCAAAAATGGTTATGCCACAATAATACTAGAATCAAAGATGAATATTTTGAAAAAAAAATGACTAAAAACGGACTGATGACTAACTGTAAATCTAGAATAAAAAATAGAATTAATTCTAAAATGTAATCCGTAAATATGATTTGTTAAAAAGAGAGATCGAATAATTTTTAAAATGGGATAAAAACTGCAACTTTTTAAGCATACCTGATGTGAGGATAGTCGTTGAATTGAGAGGTTGAGAGTAATGTTATTATCTGAGTGCAAGTTGATAATATTAATGTAGTTAACGATTGGAGTGATGATGTATTTATAGTTAAGAATTCCAAAATGTAGAAGGTTGATAATTGTTTTGCGGGCCAAGTCCAACACCAAGCATTTAAAAAATATGTGATGGTATAAGAAAATAAAATTATATATTCACTACTTATTATATCTATTTATATAGTGGTAAATGTTTAATCTTAACAAATGATATCAAAACAAGGTTATGGTTCGAGTTTCAGCAATAACATTTCGTATAGGATATAACTTCGAAAACATATTCCTTAAAACCATTTTTTTCTTTTTCCAAAAGATTGCATTCTTTCTAACAGCAAAAATAATAAATTAAATCTACAAAATTATATAAAAACTAATAATATTATGTTGATCTCCTGTAACATAAATATAATGTTTTATAAAATAATGTATTTTATAGTTAAAATAATATACTTTATGTATTTTTAGACTGTAGTCACGAGCAATAATGAGAGTCTTTGTCCCGAAAGAGATATGGACGACCCAGATTAGGTCTCCATTGTTGTCGTTTTTATGAGCAATAATGAGAAAAGACTGTAGTCACGAGCAATAATGAGAAAAGACTTTGAAGCCGGTAGCAATCAGTTTAGGTCTCCATTGTTGTCGTTTTTATGAGTGACACTGAGATTTCAGAATTGAAATAATGGCCGTGTCCCCTCTCTAGCTTCCCAAACCGTGTTGAACGAATGCATCTATCCCCATTGAGGTGTTTTAAATACTAGATTTATTTGTGGAAAAAATTTAAATATTTATGCGTTAAAAAACTTGTATCAAAATTTTTAAAATTTTGTGGGAAAAGAAATTCAAATTTCTATAAAATTATGTTCAAACCTTTAAAATTTGGTAAATAAAAAAAAAATTTTAAAAAAACAAACATAAAACTTTGTGTATGGTAACAATTATACCATATTATACATAGTATAATTCTAATAAAACTTTAAAATTTGACAAACTAATATCAACGTGTGTACGTTGTAACAATTATAATTTTTGGTACAAATAAATGTAAAAATAACGACATAATATCATTGATAGATACCCCTAATGAGGCACTCAGCCTGGAAGTATAGAGGGTAGTAGATTCAGACAGTTAGATAGTACTCTCTCTTGAGGGCTCCAAATTCACCAAAAAAAAAAAAAAAGTAGATCCTGACTGCAGGGGAACACTTAGCGATTCAAGAGAAAGGGCCCCCTTCGCGTACAACGGCGGTGCGGGCACCCAGGCGACCAAGGTGCACTGTCGGTGTGTCCCGGTTGGGTTTCTAGTTGGCCCGGATTGACGACCAAGTTTTGTAGTTGGCGTGTCCCGATTGAACCCTCACACGGCTTGGGTGGCGCGACTAGGCTATGTAGTCCGTGTGTCCCTAATCGGGTGACTCAGTTGATCCAGACGGGCGACCAGGCAAGGCATTCGAAGTGTCCCCGACTGAGTGCGCGCTCCAGAGGCAGTTATAGGCAGATTCTGCGGGGATTTTTTCCTTGCGCAACAAGCAGTTTCCTTTTCTCGTTTTAGGCAGTTACCGCTCTAATTATGGCAGATTCTAAAGCTTGTTTAGTTATTCCCCCCCCCCCCCCCCCCCCCCTCACCTTATAGATGATCTATTTTCTTGTATAAATACCCCCTCGAGGTTACCTTGTAATGGGTCGGATTTTTCAATCAAATAACGTTACTCTGCTCTGTTCTCTACAAAATACTTTGTCTCGTTAGACCTATATTTTACGGTAGTGTTGGCTCGCCGATCGGCTACTCTAGGTAGGGGTGGGAATAGGCCAGGCCCCTTGTAGGGGCCTATGTCCAGGCCTAATTAAAGCCTAGTTAGGCCTAGCTCGTTTAGTAAAAAGGCCAGGTTTGAGCCAATTTCAAAGCCTATTAAACTAAATAGGCCAGGCCTATATATACTAGGCTCGGCCTTCAGGCCTACAGCCCTGGCCTATATATATATATATATATATATATAATTTAGAATATAACCCCAAGTATATATAATTATCAAACCCTAACCCTGCACCTCCAAAATTCCATTCTAAATTATGACTCAACTATAAACATTGATGTTAATCCTGCTATAAGTGTTCTTATTGTGTAATTTTTTTTTATTAACTGTTCTTACTATCATAATATTTAATGAAATGTCACAACTTAATTATGTGAGTTGATTGTTAATTATTTACGATATTATATAGGATAACAAACAATAATACAATTGAATTTATTTCTAAATAAGTTAACGAGCATGCTGAAGTCGTGACTTGTTTTGTTTTATTTTATATTTATTTTCTATTACGTTTGCATTGTGGTGATATACTTATATAATTATGTATTAGTTTTGTATTAGGTACATTTCTTATATTATTTAGATATACTAAAGTTTTTAAAAAGTCTTAAAATGTAGGCTTTAATAGGCTCAAGGTAAGACTTACTTTGAAGCATTTTTAATGACCTAAATATTAAATAGACTTTTAAAAAGGCTTCATGTCAGGCCAGGTTAATTGCAGGCTCAGGCTTGAGCCTAACAAAAAGCCTACATACAGGCTCAGGCCCGGGCCTAGGCCTTAGATATTCGTAACAGGCCCAGGCCTAATTTTTCAAAGCTCGGCTCGGCTCGGCCCATTTCCACCCCTAACTCTAGGCCGTAAAATCAACAATCATTTTTTAAAATATAATATACCCGAAAAATTAGAAAAATTCTCCATCCCGGCCCATACCTACGGGAAGTTAAGTCCGTTCTTTAATCAATTTCTAGTCAAAATGTTAATTAACACAAAGTTTAATAATCAAATAAAAAATTAGAAATCTAATTCCTAATTACAAAAATTAAAATACTAATATATAAACAGACACAGACACACAGTACACACGCAATTTATATATAAAGACACAGTAGAAGCATGATGACAGTGTTGTGGCAATTAAAAGAGACAATACACGGCAATGATGACGTTGTCAGAACAGTCAACAAAATCAAAGATAAGTATGGAGTATATATTATTGTTACTATTATTATTATTATTAATATTAATTTTCTTTTCTTTTGCTTTCTATCAATTATTTATATCGTTTGGCCTACTGCAACTTATTCAATAATGAAATCAATATTGTGGAAAATTCTACACACTACATAATATGGCAAGCAAGCTCCGCGATGTCAATTATATTAAATAGCAAGTTTTGCGCTGTCACTCAAATTAAATAGTAAGCTCCACGCTGTCACTCAAATTACATAATAAGTTTCGCGTTGTAACTTAAATTACATGACAAGTTCTATGTTGTCACCTAAGTAACATGGTTAGTTCCGCGCTGCCTATAAGTTATAACAATGATGGTAGCAAATGAGAAAGTACGCAATTGGTCACAAGAAAGTAAGATAAGAATTTCTGGACATATCTTTTAACCAAGAATCCCATGTTTAATCAAAACTAAAGACATGCCTTTCTAATCATATGTTATTTATTTATCTTGCAAGAAATAATAATTCTCAAAGGCTTATCGAACATGAAGAATCACTTGAGATTCAGACAGAAGGAGTTAATGGCATAAAATTAAAGAAGACCCTTTATAGTCCTAAAGATTGTGCTCATAGTTGTACTCTTTTTCCCTTAGTTAAAGTTTTTTTTTCACTGATTTTTATTAGTATAAGGTTTTTAACGAGTCAACTAGCGTAATCTGGGCCCCCTACACTCATCCCTGGCTTAGGGGGCTCACCATGGACATCTTAGTTGAACCGTTGCGTCCAAAAGGACCACCACCTAAACGGTCACACCCATTCAATGATGCGTCGGATAAGGAGTAATTGGTTGGGAGAAGATTTGACTTTTAGAAGCGGAAAAAGGATTAGAGAATATTTTTGAGATACTTTCTTGAGACATATGCTTCGCGAAATCTCAAGAAAGTGAGGGACTTGAGTGAAAATGGTTACATTTTAAGTGATTTTACTTGCACGCTTGCACCAGTTACTTGCACTTACACATGTTACTTGCACCAAATTAAAGTTTGAGTTATTTACAAAAATGTCACTGCATCCTTTTAAAAAAAAATTACATATGATCCATTAAATCTGAACACGTGGATCTCAGTTCTTTCCTGGACATTGATTCTCACATAAGCGCACCCCTATAAAAAGCGAGGTTGAATAAATTTTAAAATCCGTATTTTATAAGTTAGAATAATGTATTCTAAAAAATAATAATAATAATGTATTTTATGTGTTATTGGACTATGGTCCACACACAATAATGATTAGTCTTTGTCCCGAAAGAGATATGGACGACCCAGATTAGATCTCAGCAAAGACTTTGAAGCCTGTAGCAATCAGTTTAGGTCTCCATTGTCGTTGATTCCACAATTGTTGTTTTTATCAGTGACACTGAGATTTGACAAACCGTGTGGAAAAAATTTAAATATTTATGCCTTAAAAAAATTATATCAAAATTTTGTGGGAAAAGAAATTCAAATTTTTGCAAAATTATTTCCAAACCTTTAAAATTTGGTAAATCTATACTTCTATACTATATATAAAAACAAAATCAAGGAATTTTAACTTCCCGCCCAATTCCTAAAAAATCTATATTCATAATAAAATATATTGATTTCTACTTTCCCATTCGTACAATAATTCTGCGTTAAAATTCTATTCTAATGTTATAAAATGGTGTAATACAATCTATACTATATATAAAAACAAAATCCTGGAATTTTAACATCCCGCCCAATTCCTAAAAAATCTCTCTACCTAATAAAATATATTGATTTCTACTATACATTCGTACAATAATTCTGTGTTAAAATCTATATATATATATATATAAAAGTAAAATCCTCCTAGCCAAATTTTCCCCCCAAAACTTAGGGACAATTATGTAAATTTATAAATATTCTGTGTGTGAAGTTTATGGAAAGAATATTATGGTAATCTATATATAATTAATAATTAAATTCATAAACATTCCTGTGAAATGTAGTTGTAATTGTTAGGGTATGCATATGGAAATTATATATACA